TCTCACAAGAGTAAGCAACTATTATGAGACATTGATTCCTACACTAACAGGTAAAATAAAATGAAAAGATAAATGAGAGGCTGATGGTGCCTCTCAGAGTTCTGGCTTACTATGCCAAGGCCCCGGCTCCTGTCCCCAGCACTATATAAGCCAGGTTAGAGGCACAGGGCTCTAGTCTTATGGCTGGCAGGTGGGAGCAGGCCCAGCAGGAGTTCAGGATCCTCCTTGGGTACATAATAAGTTCTAGGTAGCCTGGCTACATGAGGTTCTATTTTAAAAAAAACAAACAAACAGTGTTTAAAAATGTGTGTGTGTGTGTGTGTGTGTGTGAGAGAGAGAGAGAGAGAGAGAGAGAGAGAGAGAGAGAGAGAGAGAGCATATACATATACTTAAAGTTGAATAAAGTTCTTTTTTTCTTTTTACTTCCAGAAGTTGAGTCTTTCCCACCATAAAGCTGGGCTACATGAAGGAACATCACTTCAGTTTTTGACTCCTTCTGTAATGCAGTCTGATCCTCAGTGGTTAAAATTTCAAATCCTTTTAAAAAAAAATAAAGCATGAAGAAGCAGAAAGTCAAAAGAGAATGTTCATAAAGTAAATGTTTAAAAATATTTATTTACTCATTAACCCTAAGTGCTTCTTGGAAATTAGGATAGTATATAAATTCAAATCTGAATAACATTCTTGACTCTACATGGTAATATTTTAGGGTACTTTTATCAGAACTAGGTGACAATATGGCAAGGACAAATGAAACATAGCTGTGTTAGCCTTGAAGAATGTAAATTTATAAAGATTTCTGTACCTGTAAATATATAATAAGGCTGAGTTATATATAACTAAGTTTTGGTTAGTTTTGGTCACTCTGTGGCTTGTTCTAGTCAAGTAGGAGAAACTTTCTTTGTTTCTTGTTTCATCTAAGAAAGCCTACATCATTATAATAATTTTTTGTAAATATTTAGACTGTCATTCACCTGATTAATTGACAAAGATAAAATAAGCATTTTGGTTTTTTTTTTTAGTTGGAAGCAGCACTGCTAGAAAACCCAGGTCCTCACACACATTAAACAGTTGCTCTGCCTCTGAGCTGTGAATCTAGTACCACAGTTTTTGTTTGATATACTATCCCTTTACTTTAAAAACAGAAAATTTGGGGCTGGAGAGACAGATCAGCAGTAAAGAGCATTTGTTGCTCTTGCAGCACCCACATGATAACTCACAACCATCAGTAAGTAACTCCGATTCCAGGGGATCCAACGTTCTCTTCTGTCCTCCACAATAAGGTGTGTACATGGTATGAATATGTAATTGCAGGCAAAACATGCATGACACATGAACATAAAAATGAATAAATCTTAAAAAATAATGAAACAGAATTTTACCTGGGAGTCCCATGGTAAATTTCATCAGTCCATGTATGTACAGGATTGATGCCTCTGACAGTCTCAAAAAACTTAGTTCAGGGTTGGAATACTCCTGAAGCTGGTCCATAAAAAGAAATAAAAATGACCCATAGTATTTTCTTTCTGATAATTACTGAGGATTTTTTAATGGTTCTTGCTATCATTACCTAACGACATTCATTACAAGTTATTTCTTACCAGTAATAGATACATACAAGCGTACTTGTTTCCCCTAAGGGAATTATGGATGTTTGATGAGCAGTCACTATGGTATTCAGAAGACGATGTTCCTCTTGAGTTAGTGTCATGTTGTCCTGAACCTGTAAGGGAACAGACCAAAACCTGTAATGTGTGCCAGTTACACACGGCCCATAAAGAAACAAGAGACTGCATGGAAGAAAAATCTTGCCCCTTTTCCAGATCTAGTGGTGGATGACACACGTTTGGTGTCTGCTCCTTCATCTTCCACTTGGATGGCAGGGTACAGGGCAGGCCTATGCTTGAAGTTCTTGCGAAGTCTCTTTGACTTACACTGAACCTCTGTGAGCAAACCTGAAAAATTACAAAATTCATACACCATTGTAGGATTTGATTAGAATGGCCTTAAGTGAGTAAATAGTCATAGACGTCTCTTATGCATGTACGTGTCCATTAAACTTCCTACATTCCTCTCTCTTCAGAGCTACCTTGTCTGCTTGAAAACACAATTTTAACAAAGATTAAGAATTAATTTTTCATTTCCAAATTATGCTTAGATTTTTACATAAGAAATGTAGACATTAGCTGCATCTTGGAAGTGAAAGTTATTTGATAGAGTAGTAGAAGTACATTAGCTATAACTATTATCACTGGTTTTATTAATAAGCTTAAGAAAGATTATCTTAGGATTTTTAAAATAAGCTAAATCAATTTTTCTTATAAGCCAAACAAAGCATTTAACTCTTTTTCAAAAGTGAATAGTATTTGAGGATTGTTTTTGTTTGTTTTTAAGTAATATTTTATAATTATTTGCATGAGTCTGCATGAGGAAACATTCACGTGAGTGCAGGTGCCCTCAGAGTCCTGAGGGGTCTTAGCCCCTTGAGCTGGAAGTGTAGTCGGTTGTGAGCCACCCAATATGGGTGTAGAGACCTGACCTCGGGTCTTCTGCGAGAGCAGAGTATGCTCCTAATCACTGAGCTGTTTCTCCAGCCTGGGATCTGTTGTTTTTATAGAGTGTTTAGTCTTCTATTTGTGCCATTGCTGGACCAGCAGTAGCTACCCTAAATACTTTTAGCAGCTACTAAAATTATTCCAGTATTAATAAACCTGTCATTTTCATAAGTATTTTAAAAACATACCTATTAAATAAAAAACTAATGAGCAGCTGAAGTATAGAACAAAACAAAAACCTTAAAGCTCTTCTATATTATTTTATTATTTGTCAGTGAACAAGAATACACACAAAAAAAAATGAGACCATTGTAAACATAGCAAGTGTTAGCATTGTGTCTAGGCTCTGCCCCACAGTTACCTGGCAACAGCCAGATGTACCTGGCTCACTATAAAAGGGGCTGCTCGCCCCCTCCTTTCTCTCTTGTCTTCTTGCTCTAGCCCTGTCCTCTCCTTCCTGCTTCCCATTTCTTCTCATTCCCCTCCCCCTCTTTCTCCCCTCTCCTCCTCCTCCTCTTCTCTTCTTCTTCCTCTTCCTTCTCTCTCTGACTCTGTCTCTGTTTCTGACTCTGTCTCTGTCTCTACTACCCTCTCAACTCCCCTCCCCATGCCCTGAATAAACTCTATTCTATACTACACCATCTGTGACTGGTGCCTCAGGGAGAAGGGATGTCTCAGCATGGACCTGGCGGAGGCATGCCCTCCCCTAACACCTGACTGCACATCCACCAAACATATTCCTTCTCTTTATCTTTTTATAAAACACATCAAGTATTGAACATGGTAATAAACACCTGTAACCCCCAACTACTAAGAGATTGTTACAAGATGATCGCATGTTGAATACCAGCCATGGCAACTCAGACAAGCCCCATCTTCAATATTTTTTAGTAGAAAAGGAGTCTATGGGTGTAGCTTAGTGGTAGATTGTCTAGGATGTGGGAAACCTGAGCTCAACCCCCAGTACCACCAGAAGGAAAACTACAAGAAGAAGAGGAGGAGGAGGGGGAGGAGGGGGAGGAGGAGGAAGAGGGGGAGGAGGAAGAGGAGGAGGAGGGGGAGGAGGAAGGAGAGGAGGAGGAGGGGGAGGAAGGAGAGGAAGAGGAGGAGGAGGGGGGAGAAGAAGAGGAGGAAGAGGAGTAGGAAGAGGAGGAAGAAGAAAAGAAAGGAGGGGAAAGGAGAAAAAGGAGAAGAGAATGAGGAAAGAAAGAAGAGACAGGAGAAGGGGCCGTCATAGCACTACCACAGTGCAGTATTAGGACAATTGAAGGGTAAATGCAGTGTGCAGATCCAAGCAACGGTGGCAGGGTGTGGACGTGAACACACGTGGACAAGGCTTTTGCTCACCAATCACAGTAACTGTGCTCACCAATTCTCTCAAACTTCATCTTGCCAGAATTCCCTTAAGTTAAAGAGAAGGATGACTCATTTTGTGTATAGAATCTCTCAGAAGAATCTAACTTCCCTTTCACATACATTTCCTGGCACAGGTTAAAAGACAACTTTTGGACCAGGCACAGTAGCACACATTTTTAACCCCAGAAATTGAAGAGTAGAGGCAGGGGAATCAGTTTGAAGCAGTTTGAAACCAGCCTGGCATACATAGCAAGTTCCAGGCCAGCTACATAGTGAGATCCTGAATACAAATTAAATTAATAAATAGCATAAAAGATAACTTTTTCAAGGGTTGCTTTGGACCGAATTGTGTCTCCCAAAGCTCACATACTAAAGTGCTACATTCTAATGTATTGATTTTCGGAGACCGGTCCTGACACATGAGAGACTATTAGTGGGCTTTGCATATGAGGATGTCAGGGGTCCAGGGATCCACTTACTCTTCAGTTGTCCTAAGGTTGCCATGTGTTAGGACTCTGAGAACCTCTTCTCCTCTTCCTCCTTTTCTCTTCTTTCTCCTCCTCCTCCTTTCTTTCTTTCTGGGAACTACTAACTTTAACTTTGCACTTTTTCAAGGCAGTATATAGTTTTAGGTTAAGTAACATAAAATACAAGATCTTTTTAAAATCATCATGTAGATTTATTTTATTTTATGTAAGTGTTTTGCTTGCATATGTGTATGCACACTACATTTGTGCCTGCAGAGGACAGAAGAGGACATGGAATCCTCAGGCTCTGGAGTTAGAAATGCTTGTGAGCTGCCATTTGGAGGCTGGGAACTGGGTCGAGGTCCTCTGCAAATGCTCTTAACTGCTGAGCTACCTCCAGTTCTCAGAGAACAAATTAGAGTACAGTGCAACATTTATGGAAATCACTACTTAAATTGATAATGGGCCATCCATATGGAGCAATTCCTGTACATATGTGTGTGGTGTGCATACACGAATGATCATGGCACTGTACAAAATAACTCTTGAAGAATGCTTTACATTCTCAGTAAGGTTGGAAATCTTTTTGCTTTTTATTATTTTTAACTTCAGTGTTATTATATAGAGGAGAATGTGAATACAGTCCTCTACTAACACAAATTATGCACCCAAGTTTCCACACTCGTGGAAAGCATAGGGGTCAGTCAGCACATCCCCAGTGCAATGGGTGAGCTTCACCCCAAGAAAACCACCACCATTATCATGTCTTCCCTATCAGGTAAGTAAGGTTGGGAAAAGTTAAGTCCCCCTCAGAAAAGCAAACCGTAAACACAATGGCACTTACATTCTGCCAACATCCCCACCGCCTTACACTTTTTCAGTCTGCACTCTTGGCATTTTCTACGCATGTACATGTCCATTTCACAGTGGCCACCATTCTTGCAAGAATACACTGCATTTTTCGTAATGCTACGTCGGAAAAAACCTAACAACAAAAATTGTCAAAGTTTAACGTTGATATTTTTAGTTACTTCTCACTTTTATTAATATTTTACATTTATAGTAAAGTAATCAAGTTAACTAGAGTATTCCAATTAAGTGAGGGAGGTTTTTTTCTCCCAATAGTTTTTTTAAAATATACATTTATCTGGAAAGTTATCTAATTCTTTCCAGTTGGTATACTCCAGTTGACATCTTGAGGTTGGGTCTTTCTTTATAACATCTGAAGATTAAAACGAGTATCTTTATCACATTAAGACAACTCTCTACCCTACTCTAGGTAAATTACCTATAAGAATTTTTTAAACTGCATTTTACAAAATATCAAGATCTCTTTATATCAAGTTTCCTTTGAGAAAATACATGGTCACCTAAAATAAACAAAAGTATCAGAGAAGCCTCTCTTTTCTAAGCCCTCACAGTTTGAGTCCAGCCCACAAAGGTGGTCCCTCCCTCTGCAGACGGTCCCTCTCCCTTTCTGAGCACCAAGAAAGCATTTCTCCTCCCTTTTCCTCCTTCGAACCTTATTAGACACAGTAATCCCTGCCGTTTCCTGCTCCCTCCTGTGAGTTGTCACACTTAGTCTAAGCCAGCCCCGCCACTTACTCTCTTTCGGTGGACACTTGAGAGATGGGGTTTCCCCATTTCAATTCAACAAAAGAAGAAAAAGCTCAGCTCAGATTTTCAAACCTATGCCAGGTTCTTCAGCTTAGATTTAACAGTAACTCATCAAGAGCAGGCCACCCCTGCCTAACTACTCTCCTCAGGATTCTGTTATCTCATTTCCTTTGGCTATTCTTTGCCAGTGTGGAGGTGTAAGATTTACAGGTAAAATTTTACTCTAAACAAATGCTTTTGTGTGTATGTGTTATATTGGCGAAACTGTTTTCTGTTTTTGGATTGTTTTGTTTTGTTTCTGAGGGTGCTAGAATCAAATCCCAAAGTAGGTGCTAAGTGCTCTACCACCAGCCAGCATTCCCACCCCATGTTTATTGATTACTGACATGCTAGACTGCTTCAGAACTGTTATTATCAAAGAAGCTTCCACTCTTTACAAACATCATTGCAAACACTGGCCCTCACTTCCAGATTTTCAGTTTGTTCTCTTTCTTTATGAAGCACTTAAAAAAAAAACATCTTTTGACTTAGAATCCTAGAAGTCATTTATTTCAAATTTTCTCCAAGTGCATAAATTTTATCAACTATATAAAAAGGTTTCATGGTTAATAGATCTTTATAATGTCATGTTTTGTTCCAACACCAAATTCTTCTAGAAATAGGGAAAACGTTTGTTTGCTTACATGTATTGAGTTTAAAGTAAAATGTGAAAGTCTTCATCAAAAATTAAGACACAGACCTGGTAGTGATCGCTCTTAATACCAGCAGCACTAAAGATACAGAGCCAGGTGGATTTCTGAGAGTTCAAGGACAGCCTGGTCTATACAGTGAGTTCCAGGACAGCCAGGGATGCATAAAGAGACCTTTTCTCAAAAAAGAAGAAAAACAAGGAGGAAGAAGATGAGGATTAGGATGATGAGGAGAAGGAGGAAGAGGAAGAACAGGAGGGGAAGAGGAGAGGAAGAGGAGGATGAGAGGAGGAGGAAAAGAAGGAGGACAAGGATGAGGAGAATGAGGATGAAGATGAGGACTAGGAGGGAAGAGAAAAAAGTAAAGAAAGAAATGAAATGAACCCTAGGGTCAGACATGGTGGCCCACACCTTTAATCCCAGCACCTAGAAAGCAGAAACAGACAGATATCTGTGAGTTGGAGACCACCCTGATCTCCATAGTGAGTTCTAGGCTAACCAGATCTACACAATAAGACCTATTTCAAAAGAAAGAAAGAGAGAAAGAAAGAAAGAAAGAAAGAAAGAAAGAAAGAAAGAAAGAAAGAAAGGAAGGAAGGAAGGAAGGAAGAAAGGAAGGAAGGAAAAGAAAGGGAAGGAAAGAAAAGAAAAAGAGAAGAGAAAAGAAAAGGAAAGAAAAAAGAAACTAACCTTAAACTTAACATTTTATTCTCCTGTCTTTGATCACACAGATTGATCCTTTTAAACACGCTTTTTCCTGGTTTTGTTTCTCGTGTTTTAAAAAGTTGTGTGTCTATGCACATGCGTGTATGTGTGTATCTGTGTGTGTATCTGTGTGTATGTGTATCTGTGTGTGTGTATCTGTGTGTATGTCTCTCTGTGTGTGTCTATGTGTACACACACATCCAGGAGTGTACCAGGTATGTGCAGCACTGCCCGTTTGGGTTTGGTTTCACCTTAGCCTTACCTTTGCAGCCCTCACAGGTAAGTGCGTTATAGTGATATCCTGATGCCTTATCACCGCAGACCATGCAGAGCTCATCTTGTCCCGTCCAGCGTAAAGAGCAAGTCGGTCTGCACCTTTGTGTCCCAGGGAATTCACCTTCATCATCGTGAACAACCACATAAGTGGCCTGACTAGATTCTCGAGAGTCAAGTCCGCACCAACTGCCACCACTGTACTGTGGATCCAAGCCATGTGTGTTGAAGTGGCTTTGTAAAGATGGGGACTGTAGTGCTGAAGGAAACTGAGCAGTAGAATATTGGCAATAGGATGATTCTTGGAAGTCCATGTCACACAGCTGATGATGGATTTGTTCTGGCAAAATGTCTGGTTTTATTAACATAAAAAAGAACAAATCATATAAAGTCAAAAAAGTTCATACTTATTTTAAACTTCAAAATGTTTTATGCTCAAGAGAAAGTTAGTTCAGCACATCTACTACATCTCAGGGCTTGCTGTCCAGCCCAATAGGAACACAGTGAATGGAACTACAATTCCTAATAAATGCTATGACCCCAGAGGTGTGCAGAGGTGGATCAGGAGCCAGAAGAAAGGGCATTAGCTGCTAGTGGTGCATGCACCAATCTCATCTCTCTCGTTAAGGGAAACTGAATAACTCCCAGATTTGTAATTGAGTTTTCCCCCTACCTTATACATGGGTTGTTGCCACAACATAGCAGAGAAGGCTTCAGGCGTGGTAAGAACACTTTCAGCCTCCCACGCACAGGCCCAGAGGCAGGCTGAACACAGCCACACCCCATTAGTTGGGTTTTAACTAGGCCCATTATTCTTATCCAGAATATTCTTGGGACTTTCCAAACACCTATCCAGCCCAAGTCACATAAAACAGTGTCTCACGGCCTAATTTCGTAATGTCAACTTTAGACCCACTTCCTGGGGGCAGGACAGCTAACTTTCCCAATTTCCCAGTAAGGAATCTTAAGAGAGCAAGCACTCTTACACAATGAGACCTTGTCTTCAAAAAATGTTTTTTTAAAAAAAATAATAATAGAAGAATGTTCTCTCTGCTCCTTAAGCCTGCTGAATTTGATTCAGACTCCACCATGAAGTCAGCTCTGATAAACCTTTTATCTGAAGAGCGACTCAACTCCAAGCACTGTCTGAGCCACACCTGTCTCTAACCTTAAAAGTTACAGCTGTAAAGTTTTCCAGGCCATAAACAATATAAGTTAACAAATTAACTCCTCCCAAAAGAAAAAAAAACCACACATTTCAAACAAAACAAGAGCAAACAGCCTTTCATTCGGACTTCTTTAAAGCATCACAGCGCTCTCTTTTAACATTTGTATTCCCATGTTACTAGCTTCCTTTTCAATTTATTGTGTTTATAGAGATCAACCTCTCAACCTTGAAGAATTACTATAAGATTTAAATGAAATATGATAGTTAAAAACATGTATTAACAGGGCTAGGTAGGTGATTCAGTGGGCTCAAGCATAAAGACCTGAGTTGGGTCTTTATGTGAACCCACATACAGCTGGACCGGATCTACATTGTAATCCCAGCATGACTTCAGCAAGATGAGACGTGCACATAGGATGGCAGTAATCAAACAGAGACTTTCTCAAACCAGATGGAAAGTGAGGATGATGTCCAAGGTTAGCCTCTGACCCCTATACTTACACTGCAGGATGAGTATTCCTCAACATATGCTGCATGCTCAATCATCTCTCTTTGTGTGTGTGTGTGTGTGTGTTTTCTTGGGACACATACATATAATTTTTTTAAAAGCATAGCCTAGGGTCCTCAAAATGCCTTGACCCATAAAAGCATTAACCACACAAGCTGGATGAGCTGTTGGTTCTATACCCAGAGGCCACCTAAAGCCTGATACAGTGGTATACATCTCTAATCTTAGCACTCCTACAATGAGATGGGAGACAGAAAGAGAATTCCCAGTATCTCAAGTGTCAAGTAGTCTATAGTACAAAACCTGGTAGAGAAAATTAAAAAATAAATAAATAAAAATTTAAAGCACATATAAATTATAAGACGGCACAGGATAAATTATGGTCATGATCATCAGAAGTTCCAAGAGCTAATTTACTCTCTCCTTTCAGAAAAATTACTGAACTTAATTCAAAGTATTAGTTCCAAAAGAACCAAGCAGTCCTTGGTTGCAGTGTGTCTGTAGTTGGTAAGGGTTGTATCTTACCTGAAGCTGAGCCATCAGATAACTAAATTTAAGATCATCTTCAAAATTCTACCATCCAGATCAGTAAAAACCATCCACACAGTCATTTATAATCCTATAGCATCCGATACCAGTACAGGGCTGAAGACTATCAAATAGCTTGATACAAGACAAATGTTTCTGGGGATATAGTTCTCTAGTAAAGTGTTCGCAGAACATGCCAAGATCCTGGGTTCAATCCCCAGCACCACAAAAAAAACAGGGAAAAGAAATCAGTAAAACAGTTACTTATTTTAAAAGAAAGAAAGAAAGAGAGAGAGAG